GTGCATCCCCATGCTACAATTAGAATAAGTGGCAGTCAGTTCCTGTGTGTGACCAACAACATATCGATTTAATGTAATATCAATATTAATACCACATGAATCAGAATTTGTTATTTTTGTGGAGTTCCAGGGGTTTCATGAAAATCATAGCATGCATTTTATTTGGTAATTATTGTTCAATTTGGGGTTTTTTTCCTTTTTGGGTTTTTTTTCTCAGAAAATCTTAGAATTTAGCATCTGTTGGTATCGGGTAATACACTGACAGAAGCTCTCAGTGGAAGTACTGCCGGTCAATAAGCCATTCTGAAAGAAGAGAAGTTAAACAAGAACCTGTCATGAATCCAGATTTGAAGTTTTTAGCTCAAATCATCAGACAGGTACAGCAGAGCGTCTACGGCCATCTGTGAAACACAGTGGAGGCTCCGTCATGGTCTGAGGCTGCTTGTCAGACAGTGGTGTTGGGATTGATCGAATTACAAAAGCAGAAAGGGATGTAATACCATCTGGAAAGGATCTTGATTGGCATCTATTTCCTCTGCAGATCATATTTGTTCCAACTTATTTAAAGTGTTTACTAAAAAAAAATAACGAAAACAATAATGCATGTCGTTTTTTGTTTTGCTTTTTTCCCCTTTCTATGTTTAGATGCAGGCGTCCTGAACCAAACAGAGGAGACGGAAGACAGTCAGCAGGGAGAGGTGAGGGTTGGAAAACACTGTCAGTTAACTGCCTTTTCAGCTTGGGTAGTTATGGACGCTTTCTATTATTTCAGACGTCAGAGGCAGCTCCGGTGGAGGACAGCAATCCCCCGATTTCTCCGAGTGTGAATATAAAAGAGGAGCCTATTGATGAAGGCTACGATGCTGCGTTATTGCCTCAGAGCTCCATCAGACAGATCAAAGAGGAGCTCGAACACCAGGAGGTTGGTATAGAGAGAAGGCAAAGATTACCTCACTGTATCTGGATTGAAGCTGCTAACAGACTAAATTGTTTCATAACAATGCATAGACTCATTATTTCGGTCGTCAAGTTTAAAAATATCCCACCCAGTCCCCTCAGAATCAGCCGATTGCTTTTGCACAATAACATGTCAAATTTTATTTCCACATTATGTTAATATTTTCACAGTTGCAGGCCTTTGAAGTGACGTGGGTTCAAAATTTGTGTGCTTTTAAATTTAAGTCATGTTTTTCAGCATTTTGGAGCATACGAGCAATATGGCATCCTCTTATATAGTCACAGCATGAAGATCAAATTTTACCTGCCTTCATTAAATATACTGAAGTTATTGTACCAAAAATGGCTGATTCTGAGGGTCTTTTTAAATAAATGATTTTTTTTTATGTGATTTCTAGCAGTGTGAAAGACAGACAGAAATGTGCAGTCTGATTTCTTATTGTTTTATTGTTGCAGGAGGAGCTGAGAATCAGCTCCGTCTTCTCCGTAGGTGGAGGCAACACCTTCACCTCTCCTACCAGTGAGTGCATTTGTTTTAACATTAGTGGTGATGTCTTATACGCTATTTTGT